CACTGCACAAATCCATCCTACCCTCCTCTGCCATGGCCGGGTATAAAAAGAAATAACAAGAAACAAATGGCAGGATATTACTAAAGACTTTAAACCCCCAAAGCCATTGCTGTGCTGAAGGGCTGGCTCGATTTGAAGTGGAAGTATCTCCATTAGCATTAATGGGGTGAGTCCATCAGCAGAGGCATCTCAGAGGTTAATCAGCCTTCCTGGCTGCCCATGGCCATCGATACCGTGTGGCGCCTGCTGCTGTTGGCCCTTCGGAGGTTTTCCTGACAGCAACACTAACAGACTCATCGCCCATGAATTATTAAAACAAACGTTTGGCTGCTAATTGATGAACACTAATGTGTTTTCTAATCACTGCAGTTTGAGATTTTAGCACTAAACAAAGCAGTTGCAATTGATTTGTGGCTGCTTCTTGGTTTCAGCCTGGGATCTGGACGTTTTTTTTTTCCTTTTCAATTTAGCAGGCAGCTTAGCTTGTCTTTTTAGTTAAGAATTGGCTTGTTACAGTGTCATTCCATTCTGATCTCTTTTGCTATTTCTTATTTATATTGCATAATAAATCTGCTCGATGCTTTACAGGCAAATAAGGCGCAGTCCTTGGTTCAAGGAGAAAATATTTAAAGTTGTAGTTGGGCTTGTTTTTCTTTCAATCAGCATCTCTCCTACTGTGGCTACTCTCCCTCTTTCTCCAAATAAAATAAAGCAACATTAAAACAATCTTCAGCATCTTTAGCTGATAAAAGCTGGTGCTGTGGATGTTTTGAAACTTGTAGCTGGGAAATGTGCAGAGCCTGGACCAGTGCTGGGATGTGCCTGAGAGTTCCCCTTTCCAGGACCTTGAGGATGGCAGTTTTGATTTTSCTGGATTTGAGTCCCATATTCAGTTTTGGTGCTTAATTGCTGAGGAAAAAAGGAGTGTGTCAGATGTAGGGAARGCCAAATTCCTGGGCTCTTGCACCGTGCAGGAGACAAAACTGTGTCAGCTTTGGGGGCTGTTTGCATTTCTGTGTCAGCGCTGCCCTCCTCACACCCCTCGTGGCCTCATCTTTGGTCTTCCTGACCATCCATGCYCTGAGAGTAAGTAAAAACAAAGTTAAAAACCTCCAAAACTGGATACTTAAAATAGGAAAATATTAAATTATTTGAACATTGAAATACTTCTTTTTTTTCGATAACACTTTGGCATAATTGGATTCCAAAAGAAAGGTGAATTTTTCCATTTATATTCCAATTCTTTCATGCATAAGATACCAGATATTTTCAGGTTGTTTTGTTAAAGCTTCTTGCAGCTGATACATCACTCCTAAAAAAATTCACTCTGTACTTACATGAACTGGAAAAAATCCGAGCCGAGCCCACAGCACAGCCCTAAACATCACTGAATATTTTTTTTTCCCCTTTTTTTTACAGACAATAAAGACTGGACTGACAATGGTGGGGAAGGTGGTCACACAACTCACAGGAACGCTGCCATCAGGAGCTACTGAAGAGGAAATTCTGGCTCACAGCAACCTCCGCCGGAGTCCCCTGGTGCCTGGGATTGTCACCATCATCGACACCGAGACCGTGGCAGAGGGACAGGTAACAATTTGCACTCAGACAGAGCCCAAATTCACACCCAAATCCCAGGGAAATCATCTCTGTGCTGTTGGGAATGAAAAATAAACCAGATTTTGGCTGGGGTGGAAACTTTCGCGGACACACAGAGCTGGGATAAAATCGTGTTTGGGACTGAAATGCAGCCAAAATGTATTTCTTGTCCTTCCACCATATTTATGTGACATTTTGACAAGATCGAGTGTGAAGTGTCACATTTTGTCTCTCCAACACTTGTTCCTAATTGACATTGATTGATGCTGATCAGTCCAAGTGGAGATGGGCTCTGATTATGTTCATTAATACAGAACGTGGCTGGAAGATGTGGTTGTTTAGGAACAGGGAATTGTTGAATTTCAACTTCTAAAAAAATGAGGAGTGAAGTTGGATAYGAGCTTATAATTTTATATTTTRTRTCATTCCTAAATGCTGTCAGGCACWATGCTGTTTTGTGAGGCATTTGGACTGTTTTACTAATAATAGAATAAATTYATATATATTTATAAATGTATTCTATAATAGAATACATTTATATATATACACTGTTATATACAATAACATACAGACAAAATCATCAGGCACAATCATTTGTTACAAACTCCACACCATTATCAGACAAACTTTAAAGTGMTGGATTTTCCTGTCTTTATGACAGAAAAGATATCCATATCTTTTTTTTTAATTTTMATTTTAAAGTGTCTGGTCCTGGATTCAGTGTTTATGCAGAACTCACACACACTTCATTATTCTGTAACTAGTCTGTAATACTTTCTTCCTCGTGGTGACATTTATTGAATTTAAAGATAAAAAAACTCTTCATTTTTTCTTTTTTGCCCCTATCTTTTATGATGCACATTGCAGGTTAGTTAATGAGATATTAAGGACACATCAATAGTCAAGTTATTTTCTTTCCTGACAGAAAAATAAAATGTTTTACGTGAAAAAAACCGAAACAAAGTTATGGTTGTTCCTGAAAATTAATTTTATTAATTAAATTTAATTAATTAATTAGCCAAGCAGTGTTGCATTGGAAGGGGGTTATACATAAAATATTATAGAACTTTTCTTGCAAAATTGAAATAAAAGTAAAAATGGAAAAAAAAATTGAGATCTTAGAATCAGGTCTTGAAATAATTCTGTTGGCTGTTGGGGATTTGATTTTATTTCCAGGGAAAAATAGAAAAAGGTCTTTTGGCTCTTCATATGCAGCAAGTAAAGAAAAAAAAAAGACAAATTTTGCTTCATAAATTTCTGATGAAGCTGTTTAATGTGGTCATTATTTCTGCTGGTCGCTGTCCATGCTTTGATTCTCCTGCATAGCCCTAGAGGGAAAAAAAAATGATAGATCTTAGGTTTTTAAAGCTTGTTRTGGATGATTTAGGGGTTTTATGAACTTGTCCTCTGACCTTAACAATAGCTATCAAAGCCTAAAGGGCACTACAGGAGAGGAGCTGTAAAAATGATAATGCTTGTCTTGACCAAATCCTGCTGCTCCAGCATAAATAAACCATCAGCTCAGGAAAATAAGTTTTGTCTGGAATCTCTGAGAAGTTGGATATCCTAATTGTAGGTATTGCATTCATATTTTTGTGATCTGAAGCTTTAAAATGCTGTTAAATTATTCATTCCTATCCAGTGCTGTGATTTGCTTTCAGAATTAGGGTTCTATTTATTTCTAGGAAAAAGAGGTTTTGTATTTGTGGAGATACAAGTATAATTTTTTTTTTTATGCAATAAGGGGAAAGGGTTTTAATATTTTATTTGACATTAAGTTTTTGATTAAAATTGGGGGTTTGATTGTTKTTTATTTTGTGTTATGGGTAAAATGATGTCGTGTAGGTGGAAGTTTGTTTTTGGTGTCTCAATCGCTGGCAGGAGCTGATCCCAGACCCRTGAGCTCCTCATTCCCAGGATTTCTGGGATTATTTCAGTCTCCTGTGGAAAATCAGTTTGCTGAGAGTGGGGATCTGAGCTCCATCATCACCCTGGCTGGAATGGAGGAGTGCTGCAGCAGCTTGATGGTGCCATGTCCAGCCTCTCTGGTGTTTTAGGGTCCATCTCTGTTTTCCGTGACTTTCCTGAAGTTCTTGATTTATAAAATCACAGATTCAGACTCAGTAAGTGTAAAAAAGTTCATCAAACCCAACCTTTGAATGCTGCCATTCCCATCAAACCACGAAGAGCCACATCTGCTCATTTTTGGAACCTCCCAGTGATGGTGACTCCACTTCCCTGGGCAGCMYCTTCCAAAGMTGAAGKGATTTTTCCTCATTTTATCATCCCAATTTTCAGATTCCTGAAAATAAAGAGTTCTGGGTGGAATCAAACAAACTTTCCCTACTGGGATGAGATGTCTGGTTTGGGATATTCCGTGGCTGTGCCCATCCCATGCTTTGCTCTCTCTACACTAATCAGGAAACACTGAATTAAAAATTCCAACCCAGTATTTTCTGGGCTAAATTAACACTTGGGAAGTCTTAAATCCCATTCAGCAGGGATTTGGTGGAGATTGGGATGTGCTCACGTGGATTTCAGCCTTGACACAACTGAGGGGAATTTCAGAAGCAGGAAGGAGTTATTTATTTCCTTATCATCAGTGCACTCCTAATATAAAATAAATACCTCACCTCCTTCAGGTCAGTAAAGATTCCTATCGCCTGCACAGCCTGACTAAAATTTGAGTGTTTCAGTGAAAGAACAATTTTCCAAGCAAAAAAATATAACTGTCAGTAAAAAAAAAAGAAAAGGAAGAAATCCCTTTAAAAAGAAAAAGAAAATTAAGACAACAACAGTAAAACTAAGGCAGGCAAACACATCATTTTGGAGGAAAAATAAGGTTTTTTTTCAGTAGAGAAGCATTTAAAAATGTATTTAATGTCTTGTAAATTAATGAGCCAAGTACTTGTTCAGTTTGAGGAGCAACACAAGTTTTAGAGATGGGCTGAGCTGCTCTGCATGTGTGCAAATATTACAGTTTCTGTGTACAAATACAGCAATTTCTGTGCACAAATACAACAATTTCTGTGCACAAATACAGAAATTTCTGTGCACAAATATAACAATTTCTGTGCACAAATACAGAAATTTCTGTGTACAAATACAAATTTCTGTGCACAAATACAGCAATTTCTGTGCACAAATATAGAAATTTCTGTTTTCAAATATAGTAATTTCTGTGTGCAAATATAGCAATTTCTGTGTACCAATATGACAATTTCTGTGCCAGTGGGATGATGGAAGAACACATTTTGGACACAAGCCAGAAGACAAACAACAGTTTTAAGTTTTCACTGATTTTGTTATTATTTCTCCCATTTCAAAGGCAAACTCACCCCTGAAAAATACACAGTTAAACACCAAAGAACTCKCCTAATGGAATCTTGCAGGATTAAATCTGCAGGGAAAATACTTTTAATAAACTTCATGAATGTGGATATTGTAGCAAACTCTCATCCCCAGCAGTTGTTTATGTGGTAGCTCCTACTTTCATAATTGGTGATACTTTAAGAAAATTTGAATTATGAGGTAATTAAATAAATGCAGAGGAATGCGGAATTATTGACGTTGGCTGTCAGGAGATATTTGTAAAAGAAATAAAAATAATTATCGAAATGCCCAAGTAACTCTGTGGTAAACCAAAATATGTTAACAAGGTTGTGTGCTTGTTTAAACTTCTTTCTAATGAAGTGTTAGCAAACTTTTCAGTTCGATGGAAGGACTATTTATTTGAATCCCTTAATTAGCTGCAATGGATCAACCTAAAGCTGTACAGATGTCCTCTTTTTCAGTAATTGGAATTAAATGTGGACGACTTTATTGGCTGAGGTTTGAAAGAAAAATTATTTTCTTTCGACCTTTGTTTCTGTATTCTTAATTAATTCATCCACCGGGCCACCCACGTGCAGGCTGCAATAATGACCTCGCTCAAAAGTCGCCAGTTTTGGGGCTGAATGTAAATCTGTTCAACATCCAGCAGTTGGGTGACAGAGAAAGATTTAAAAACACAAAAATTCTGGGGCTGTGATTGATGAGATCTCGCAGCTCATCCACAATTCAGGCGAATATTGGAGGGAATATTTTCAAAACAGCTCAGCAAAATGAGATAACATGTTGATCTGTTTATGTTTGAAAATGTGATCAGGCCTCCTTTTTTTTTTTTCCTGTTCCCTATTAACTTTTTATTGCATTAAAGAGGAATTTTCAGAAAAAAAAAAAAAGCAGCCGACCGCCGCAGTTTTCAAAAGTTCATTTTCATTTGGTGAGGGGTTGGTAGCAATTGAAGCAAATCGAGATGCTTATCAGGAGYAGGAATTATTGTGAGCAAAAAGAAGCTCAAAGAGTGAGGCATATTCCATAATAAAACTTTAACTGCAGACATAATTCCACTGGTCATTAACACCAGGGCTTTTATTTTAGGAGCAGCTTTGGKGAAGGCTGAGCCAATGTCCCGATGTTCAGAAATTTCACCTCAGTTTTGCTTCACTTTTTTTACATCTCTGTGTATCACAGCAGAATTCTTTTTTATATAGAAATATAAAAAGAGCACCAGGATTCCCTCAGAGCATAATACTGTCTGCCTCACTTTTATTAAAGGAGATCTGGTTTTTGTCAAGAAGACATTTTTGTCTCAGATAAATGGTTCAGGCTGAGCACAAGGCTGGTTTGAGTTTATGCTGGATTCTATTAAAAGGAGTGCAGTAGTTAATGCCACAGATCTATCACTTTTAGCCCCTTCCCACTGAAGTTTGACCTTGGCTCTAACTTGGGGGAGGCTCTTTGTGTGGATCAAACTCCAGCTCTTTAAAGAGTTGGGGATCTCAGCAAATATTTGTGATATAATATTCATATTTGGAATTATTGCCAAACCTATTTGTTTTGATGATGAGGGGATTGCTCTTTCCTTAATTATATTAAGAGTAGGACCTGCTTGATTCGATTTGGGTCCATTTTTATTTGTGTTACTTTCATGTTTTATTTAAAAACATGTCTCCACTGGGATAAGTGGAGCAATTTGCCTTTAAAGATTAAAATAATTAAAGTCATAATTACGAGTGGCTTCTGTTCAGCAGGAGGGAAAATACCACGGAGGGAGGAAAATATGGCACAGGAGAGAAAAGCTCTGGCTGCTGCTTCCTCCTGCCCTGTTGGCTGACAGTAAATACAGCCATGCCCTCGTGTTTGGTTTCTCTTTTTGGGGTGAGATAACGAGGATTTRATGAATTTTTTATTCATTTCAATGTTCAGCTGTGACAGAGCTGTTTTGACTCGGCAGCTTTTGGGGAAATCCTGTTGGGAGATGATTTTGTTATTTTGTTATTGGAAGTCTCAAGCAATAATTCATGGAGCAAAACAGGAATAGTTTCTCTTTTCCTTATTTTGAATGGGATCAATAAATGGGAAATGCAGGTATAAAGTGCATTTCTGCACTTTATACCTTTCTGGTTACACCAGGTTATTGTGGCAGGTCTTGTGTCTGTATCTGAAAGAATTCTCAAGGATTTTTGCTGCTCAGCTGATTGAAATATTGATTAATGTAAGGGTTAAATATTCCCTTTTCTTTCTGGGAGGTGATTTTGTTATTTTGTTATTGGAAATCTCAAGCAATGGAGCAAAACAGGAATAGTTTTCTATTGGAGCAAAACAGGAATAGTTTCTATTTTCCCTAATTTGAATAGGATCAATGAATAGGAAATGCAGATATAAAGTGGGTTATTCTTTCTGGTTACACCAGGTTATTAGAGCAGGTCTCGTGTCTGGATCTGAAAGAATTCCCAAGGATTTTTGCTGCTGAGCTGATCAAAATACTGATTTATGTAAGGGTTAAATATTCCCTTTTCTTTCTGTGAGGTGATTTTGTTATATTGTTATTGGAAATCTCAAACAATGGAGCAAAACAGGAATACTTTTTTATTTTCCCTAATTTGAATAGGATCAATAAATACGAAATGCAGGTATAGAGTGGGTAATCCTGATGGGTTACACCAGGTTATTATAGCAGGTCTCTTGTCTGGATCTGAAAGAATTCTCAAGGAGTTTTGCTACTCAGCTGATTGAAATACTGATTTATATAAGGGTTAAATATTCCCTTTTCTTTCTGGGAGGTGATTTTGGTATTTTCTTATTGGAAATCTCAATGGAGCAGAAAAACAGGAATACTTTTCTATTTTCCCTAACTTGGATAGGATCAATGACTAGGAAATGCAGGTATAAAGTGGGTAATCCTTTCTGGTTACACCAGGTTATTAGAGCAGGTCTCATGTGTGAATCTGAAAGAATTCCCAAGGATTTTTTGCTGCTCAGCTGATCAAAATACTGATTTATGTAAGGGTTGCATATTCCCTTTTCTTTCTGGGAGGTGATTTTGGTATTGGAAATCTCAAGCAATGGAGCAAAACAGGAACAGTTTTTCTTTTCCTTAATTTGGATAGGATCAATAAATGGGAAATGCAGGTATAAAGTGGGTAATCCTTTCTGGTTACACCAGGTTATTAGAGCAGGTCTTGTGTCTGGATCTGAAAGAATTTACAAGGATTGTTGCTGTTCAACTGATCAAAATACTGGTTTATGTAAGGGTTAAATATTCCCTTTTCTTTCTGGGAGGTGATTTTGGTATTGGAAATCTCAAACAATAAACAATTCATGGAGCAGAGCAGGAATACTTTTCTATTTTCCTTAACTTGGATAGGATCAATAAATAGGAAATGCAGGTATAAAGTGGGTAATCCTTTCTGGTTACATTAGGTTATTAGGGCAGGTCTCATGTCCTGATCTGAAAGAATTCCTAAGGATTGTTGCTGCTCAGCTGATCAAAATACTGATTTGTGTAAGGGTTGAATATTCCCTTTTCTTTCTGGGAGGTGATTCTGGTATTGAAAATATCGAGAAATAATTAATGGAGCAAAACAGGAACAGTTTTCTATTTTCCCTAATTTGAACAGGATCAATGAATAGGAAGTGCAGGTATAAAGTGGGTAATCCTGGTGGGTTACACCAGGTTATCAAAGCAGGTCTCATGTCTGGATCTGACAGAATTCCCAAGGATTGTTACTGCACAACTGATCAAAATACTGATTTATGTAAGGGCTAAATATTCCCTTTTCTTTCTGGGAGGTGATTCTGGTATTGAAAATAGCAAGAAATAATTCATGGAGCAAAAAAACAGGAATAGTTTTCTATTTTCCCTAATTTGAATAGGATCAATAATTGGGAAATGCAGGTATAAAGTAGGCAATCCTGGTGGGTTACACCAGGTTCTCAGAGCAGGTCCCATGTCTGGATCTGAAAGAATTCCCCAGGATTGTTACTGCACAACTGATCAAAATACTGATTTGTGTGAGGGTTAAATATTCCCTTTTCTTTCTGGGAGGTGATTTTCCTATTGGAAATCTCAAGCAATAATTCATTGAACAAAACAGGAACAGTTTTTCTTTTCCTTAATTTGAATAGGATCAATGAATAGGAAATGCAGATATAAAGTGGGTAATTGTGGTGGGTTACACCAGGTTATTGAGGCAGGTCTTGTGTCTGGATCTGAAAGAATTTCCAAGGATTGTTGCTGTTCAGCTGATCAAAATACTAATTTATGTAAGGGTTAAATATTCCCTTTTCTTTCTGGGAGGTGATTTTGTTATATTGTTATTGGAAATCTCAAGCAATGGAGTAAAACAGGAATACTTTTCTATTTTCCCTAATTTGAATAAGATCAATAAATGGGAAATGCAGGTATAAAGTGGGTAATCCAGGTTATTAGGGCAGGTCTCATGTCTGTGGATCAGGTTCCTGAGGATTGTACTGACTCAGTTCATGGTGAATTCCACCATGGACACCTCCCAAACCAATCCCAGTGTCAGTAAATCAGGATTCTCCCCCCTGGTGTGATTTTCCTTCCTAACCCCTGCTCTGTTGCCATCCCCAGGTGTTGGTGAGCGAGGATTCGGACAGCGATGGCATCGTGGCCCATTTCCCTGCCCATGAGAARCCCATCTGCTGCATGGCTTTCAACCCCAGTGGTAAGAGAATTTCTGYTTCTGGTGGAGATGGGAGCAGGGCAGTGAATCCATGGAAATGAATTCCTGGTTCTGGGGGGTTTGCTGGATCCCTGCTCCACGGAGCTCGGATGTGTCATTCGGCTTTTCTGGAAATTTCAAACTTTTGTTCATTTTTCTGGTGGTAGAAAGGAGGGGATTCAGTCCCTCTGCCACTGCTGAGGAATTCCTGGCAGTTGGGATCCTGCCAGCCAGGTGCCCATGTGTGATACTCGGCTATGCATGGATTAAATTGCAGTCCTCCAGAAATACAGAAATAAAATTGTTCCACTGTTTTTTAAAGTTACTGACACTGCCATTATTTGTTTGAGTTTGTGATTTTACCCTCTCTCCTGAATGACTTTAATCTGAGAATACTTGTAAGAAACTCCTCAAAAGTACCAATTTCTCCCCTTKTTATCAGTGAACAGTCACTGTGGGCAGCAGAGACAACTACAAACCTCGTGTATTAATAGATCGTATTAATATGACAATTAACAGTTCATTATCTATAGATAAATAATGTTCTGACTAATTGCACCAGTACTCAGGGAAACAGAGAATCAACAGCTTCCCCTTGCCTAAATTAACAATTTCTAAAACACAGCAAATGCCAYGAAGATCACGAGGGTGAAGTCACATTTCAGAGAATAAAACTCAATGTCTGTCATTTATRTTTTCACTTTTGCTGACCAGTTGGTGTCATTCTGACACCCCATCTGTTGTGTCAGAACTCCTTAACAGTGCTGTGCAGTTCACTGGGAGTTTGTGACAGAAAAGCTGTATTCTCATCTGCCTGCATTTTCTTGGGAGGGAATTTTYTGTGGAGCTTTGTGCAGTGAACTGAGAATCCTCCAGTCCAGAGCAGTAATTTTGGAAGAAAGATGATACCTAGAGTGGAGCAATGCTAATGAAGTGAAATAAATAAGTGAAATAAATAGGTGAAATAAATGCAGATACTTCAATTAGAATGCTCTATAAATAATAATTAAATGTCTCCTTAAGACAGTTTTTAGGATTGTGTMAATTTAAAGTGTTCATGCAAAACCAAATTAACTTGTTTTTTTCTAAAATGGAAGGATATTTTTACACCTTGCTGGGTACTCAGGTTACAATCAAATTCTTTGGTTTGCTCAGGTACTGGGTGACAATAATTCAGAGAGTGACACAGATCTGATGGTGTTTAATGGCAAAACACTTCTTTTCATGGTGTTGTTTTTGGCTGTGGGAGTTTTGCAGGAGGGATGGGGACAAACCAGCAGAGAACTCTTCCCTCATCTCCTGCACTCAGCCAGTGCCACTTCTGTGCTCTTTATGGAACATCAAGGGTGGGTTTTGTTTGAAGCCAGRGCTGTAAGATCATTCTGCAGTGGGCTGGTGGCAATCAGGCTGAGCTCATTAATGAGAACAAAACAAGAGGTGCCTTTTGATACTGCTCTTGGCTGRTTGCTCTGAAATCCCACTTTTAATCCTGATTTCAGGCAGTGGCTGGGGGCTGCACTGAACACAGCAAAGCACTGCTCTGATTCACAGAGAATTTCACATTCTGGGGCTCCAAACAGCTGAACTCCACCGTGTCTCAGCCCAGGAGCTGCAGAGGTGCTCAGGGCTGGCAAAATTGGCAAGGTTGGGTTAAAAAAATCCAAAATAAAACCATCAGTGCCACTGATGGTCAGTGGGAGAAGGATTCACATTGTCATGCAAGGGATGCTGTGGATGGACAGGAAGCAGGGAGCAGATTTTGCCATTTATGTTCTTAATAAATAACACAGGCACTTGGTGTTTTATTTATTTCTTAAAACCCTTCCCATGAAACTTTCTTTAAGGCCAAAATCAATTGCCTATATGAATATCTTCTGTCTGCAAAACGTGGCTCATGTGAGACAGAATTTTTAAGGTTGGAAAATGGAATTCATTTCTGAGTCAGTGTTGTAGCTGACAYATGCATTCTGTTTATTTGGAGTGGTTTAGGGTCATAAAATGGGGATTTTTCAGGATTTATAGAAATATGAAGCACAGGGATGAATATTCTTTTTAGGTTAGCTTGAGTTACTGATTGGACTGGGTTTGACACAACAAATGAAAGTGTTTTACCCCAAAGCTGCCTGCTCTTGAGACACTGAGAGAGAGAAGGAACTGGAATTGCGTGTCGAGGCGGAACTAATAAATCACAGTTTTTAATTTCCATGGTTTATTTCCAATGAAAACAGTGAGGATATTGATACAATCAAGTTTTTAGATGGAAATAATGTATTTTGTGATTGTTTGTTGCCTRAAAAAGGGCTTTTTCATTAATGTGATTTTTGCCACCAAATCTTAGATGTCCCCAACACTGAAGTTTTCAGGTAACAAATGTGTTCCTTTTCTTCTCATGTCTAAGAAAATATTTCATAATCAACTGTACATGGGATGGGGCAGATACATTCCAATTTTAATGTCAAAGAGGAAARTTTTCAAATAAGATTCTCAATTAGTAAACAGCAAAACAATGGTGTTGGTTTAGAAATATCTGGTTTGTTTATTTTTTTCCTTTTAAATGTGGTGAATAAATGATCTGCTTTCTAGAAGTGTTGCTCCTGCCAGCTTAGCAGCTGAGAGCTGTGAAGTGCAAGACATTGAAAATTTAAAATAATTACGCTTCCTTGGCTGCAAAAGAGATTTTCCACCCATTAATAACGAGAAAATTAATGTTGGGCCAGCAGTAAAACAGATTAAACTGTGTCCCYCTTGGGATGCCTGACTGCACCTTTAACAGACCTGAAATTGCTCTGATTATTTGAATGTTCTGTATTGAAATGTGGCGGTGGCCTTGAGTTAATCGTTAAAGAGGGTGAAATTGGAACATCTCTGCACAAGTTTTTCCTGTTGATSAGAGAAAAGGGGCAGGAAAACACTCCTGAAGAGTGAAACGAGCTGTAATTATTTAATGACAGAATAATTCTGTTTCTTTTTTTCTGGTTTCCAACTTGAATTTTGCCTTGGAAGAMAAATCCATTAAAATTAAGGATAAATGTTGTGTCACCCAGAGGGGAGGAATCCTGGCTTGATCAAATAATTTTGAGTTGATTGTGAAGGAAGAGCCGTAGCTATGGATTATTTTAGGAGTTATAAGAGTCACAGGGAGTTATTTATTCACAAAATAATATTTTATTTTGCTTCTCTTTCTTTTGACTTCTTGGGTTTTTTAAAAATATTTACATTAAATCTTTACATACATGTGTTTATTTTGCGGCAAATTGTGCTAAAATCAGAATTTCATGATTTAGTTAAGGTTTTTTGAGACTGGATTTTGCAGCTGTAGCACATGTTCCACTCGAGAACATCCAGGGGCTGAGCAGCTCTGATTTTTGGCTGCATTTTCACTTCCCTGGGAGAGGAGTTGAGGATAAMTAAAGCTGTTCCTAGGTCTGGTGAGATGCTTCAGAAAATCATGGGCCATATAAACTTTGTCACATCCTGGGAGCTGCAGTGGGACAGGAATCCTGACCCAGAGAGCCTATGGAAGGTGGAAATTCTKGGAGAAATCTGTATGGACTGATCCAGGAGTGGCTTTAAGTCACTGTGGATCCCCTGAGCGTTCTGATCCTTTAATCTGGAAACCTTCAAAGCTCAACACCAACCATCAAATTTCAGATTTTCAGACTGAGGGTGAGAAGTTCCTATTTTTCATCCCTTTTTGGACAAACAGTGGCTGCACTTGTCTCTCTGTGGCCGGGCATGGAAATGTCACATTTGGGTTCCTGAATTTATGGATCTGTGTTTCCTCCACGCTGATGTGTGCCTGATCTCCCAACACTGGTGGTTTTAGAAAAAATCCAGCACAGCTTGAAGGAGTCAAATCCTTCAGTGAGAACTGGCAGAGTGACCTCTTTGGGGAGTRGAAAACCCTCCTGTCCCTCGGAAAATCAAAGGGAAGCTCCTGGTGGAACTCCAACGTGGACCTCGTTTGGATGCACACAATCAACAGCTCTGCAATTAGGGAGGTGTCACAAATAGGGAGGTGTTACAAATAAGGAGGTGTTAAAATAGGATGTTCTGGGGCTGCCCAGCTCTCCCAGCTTTCCCAATCTCCCTGCACCCCACGGGCAGCCCCAGTCCCAGCCTGCAGGTCGAGCRGGGCGCGGAGGAAACTCGCAGATAAACAGAGCGCAGCGCCCCGGCTCCCGAGCGCGCCGCGCTTCCGCTTCCAGGCCCTATAATTAGAAGTCCTTCTTTTCCTCGTATTCCCAGTTGACGCAAATGCTTTTTGTGGCTTGGCACCTCGTTTAGGGCGTGGGCTCAGTTTATGGCCAGGCCAGAGTCTGGTTTAGTCTTCTGATACTGCAGAAATAGCTCTTAACCCGCAGTCTGCATCTGTACTGGTTTTGCCTTTTATGCATATATTCCTCGTGTTTTTATTTCCATCCTGAAAGAAGCTGATTGTTTCCCAAACAGAATGCAGGAAAAGTAGGAAGCTGTAAATTAGGGCAGGTAAAACAAAGCTTTGCTGGTTTGTTTTTTTTTTCTCCTCATCTAGGATCTCTGTTCCTTTTAAACTGGATTTTAACCATCTCTGTGGATTTAAAACGACCACACAGTAAAACAGTCATTARTTTAACCTGGCTGCACCCTCGTACTGTGGATAAGCAAAATCAGAATTTTTGCAGTCAGATATATACTAAATAAAGTCTGGTTTACACATAAGTTTCCACTGGGTCCTGTGTGTGCAAGACTTCCAATGGATTTCAGCTGTTATCTGTTAAACAGGGATTAATGCCAGTTTGAAAAATAAGCAGGAAATCCTCGAGAATTATTCACKTTTCATCTCTGATTATTCATCCATAAAGTCCCCTCATAAGAGAAAACATTTGGACTGAACTTAGCACAGCTTTAACCTGCACTTCCGTCCAAACAATTTTTGGGGAAAACTGTCACAAGGACTCTTAAAAAGCCAGACTTGAAGTTTCCTGTGCTTGAAAGCGAAAGCGAGGTGGGACCAGGATTGCTGTTGGTTTTTCTCCTTTGGGATTAGGAATTCCTGCTGGGATTCTGCAGGGAGATGGAGAGAGAAAYGAAATGATTGAGCCATAATGGAAAACTGGGATTCTTCAGCGTGGAGTAACGAGAGCTGGAAAATCCCACCGCAAAGCKCAGCCCGGTGTTCAGGAACACGGCTGATTTATTGTTCGAATAACAGGGGCGAGGAAGGGATTTCAAAACTGTTTTATAAATATTCGTTCTTGCCCATCTGCGGTGTTGTGCTTGGGACCTCCGTGTTGATCCAAGYGCTGCCAGAATATATTTGTACTTCAAATGCACAAGGGGGTGTGAAAGGTCCTCCTTTCACTTACTGAAAAAGAGTCTCTGATACAAGTGAAGGGCCTGTTTTCCCTGGGTTTTCATCTATTAAATGCATTTATTCCGAGCAGGACAGGCAGCAGGAGTTTAGATTAGACACAAATTGCCAAGTCGGATACCACCCATCCTTCTATTTTTAAGTCAATTCCTTCCCAGCCACAAATGTATTATCTTTCACCTCTGTACTCCTTCAAGTTAGCAAAAACAGAGGAAAGAAACCCCAAACCAGACCCAGAAACCCAAAGGCAAAGCCCACATGGAAAAAAGGGCTGGGAGATCATCTGGAGCTGCTCAGAGCTGCAGGTGGGAGAGGGAACATCGCGGATCTGAGGTGACACCGAGGGGACACACAGGTGCCACCGTGGGCTCTGGGGGCTCATGTGCCACGGGGTGTGGTGTTTGTGCCCAGAGGAACCTAAAGGCAGAGTTATGGGGTTGGGAAGGAGCCTGAGGGGATGAAACTCTGCTTGTGCTGCCTGCAGACACCTGGGAACCAAATCCTGCTGAGCCGAGCACCCGAGGAGTGCATGGATCCCCCAGGATTGTGATCCCGCTGTTTGCACTGGCTCAGGATCATCACAGCTTCTTGTCTCCAGTTCCAGACAGAGTTTTGGCACATTGAAGGTTTTTTTTTACGCCCTTCCATGTGCTGGGGTCTGCGTGAGGAGCTCTGGGTCCTCTCAGCCCTGGGGCTGTGTTTATATAAAGACTTCTCCAGTTTGGGGGAAGAGAAAATATCTGTTTGCAGAGCCTGTCTGCTCAGATTGAGAGAGGTCTCATGGATCCATCTCCTCCAGCTTCTCCTTCTCCAAAGGTTCTTTCCATCAGGAATAAGAGAGCATGAAGGACCCAAAGCATCCTCTGCTTCCRTATAAAACTGATTCTCTGGTGAGGAGAGAAAAACAAGGGAATGGAGAAGAGAAATTCTTACTGGGTTGAATTAGACCTTTTGGAATATCCTCACTCCAGGAACAGTGGCAACCTAATTTCAGCACACAAACCTCTCTTTGCTTCCAGTTTCCTCCTCTGGAAATGCCATATATTATGGAGGACCGCACACTTGACTGGAAGGGAAGTGTAGTTTGTGATGTTGCAGAACAGAATTAATGCAAATTGTGTGCGCGATCCCACACGAAAGGCTTGGCTGCCTCGCACCGGAGCAACTCGAGCTGTATTTCCTATCAACACAGTCACTACAAATCAAGGAAATTGCCAGTTAAGCCAACATTAACATCCAGCCCAACCTCAGCTCACATGCCTTCCCACCCAAACATAATACCCCGGCGCTCGCCCGCGTTTCTCGGCTCCATAACAAACTCCCTTTCATTTCTCACACCCGGGCCCGAGGAGCAGCCGGGAGCAGTAAAATTGTGTCTGCTGGAGGGGATCTTGCTGAGCTCAGAGCGGGATGGGGCTCTTTGAGAGCTGCAGGAAATGCCTGGGCGCAGCCTGGGTGGCCGCGGTGGGTCCGTTCCCTGCCAGCCGCAGTGGTCAAGCTGGGGGAAGCTTGGAGGGATTTCTGTCTCCAAGAGAAATTTGGATTTTTCTGATTCTGTACCTTGCCACGTGGCCCTGGCTGGGTGTCAGGACATTGGGCTCACAAGGTCAAGACTTTGGCCACTGAAATTTTTCTGTCTGGGCCTAAAGGGCCCAAGCTCTCAGATTCCAGATTCCAAAATTTCCGGAGGGAAAACACTGATCATTAAATTACTCATTTAATGATGYAATAATGATCCGGTAGAAAAGTTAATGACACTTAATCTTTACTCTTTCTCCAGCTTAATTCTTTTAAAATTTTTATTTAAAATTTTCCAAGTGTCGTAAGTTAGGACATCAGTGGCGACACGTGAGTGGTTTCAAAAATGCCCTGCTGGGATTTGGGGCAGCAGAGAGAAARGTGAATCCTGGTACCCCCTGTGAATAAATGAAGACAATGAACACTCATTTGTGGCAGTAATAAGATAACCATTTATGCCCTGGAGAAATGTTATGTCAAAAATGGGGGCTTGAGTTTTTTTCCTTTAGTTGTGCTTTATGTGGAGAATTGTTGCAACAGAGCTGGGTGGGAATTCCTGKTTTTTTATTAAGAGATGAGTACCTGGAAAATTATTTAGAATGTTGCTAATAAACGGCTAAAACCACTTTGTACTTGATGTTAATTAAATGTTAGAGGGTTCCTTTGGGAAATAACTTATTAAATTTCTTTAATAACAGAAAAAGAAATTTGTAGTTTGTTATTGTAATCCTAAATCCTGCCATGATGCTGTGCTTTTCTTATATGCACAAAAATCATTAATTTTTGGTATAAACTGGTATAAATTTATGGCAAATTGACTTCAGATATGTTTGTTAATGTTTAAAAACTGGCTTAGGGGCTGACACRTGATGGGATAGGAAAGTAAACAGCAAATATAAGTTCCTGTGGTTCTGCTGGTCTGATTGAATCATTTCAGTACCTCCACCACTGACCTGTTTGCAGTGAAATTGGTACCTCCTCRTTTAGTGTTTCATTAGAAATCTCTGATTTGCTGCTTTCACCAATAAATCTGATAGTTTCTTTCATTTATAAGAAAGATCCTTCTTCAGGATTGGTTTGGTACAGGCTGCTTTGGCTGGATTTCGATAATGTCTCCTCTTCCAAGAATTGTTCTTGTGGAGACATCAATCTGTTTTAGACTGGCTCTTGCCCAGGGAAGAGCATTTTGGGGTTTCGCTTTACCATTCATCACTTCAGTGCTTCAWCTTGGTCACACAGTTCTCAAATTTAATTGGGATAATCAGATTTTTYAGATGTTTTTATAGATTTGTTTTGTAATACTATATTAATACTTAATAATATATTAGTACTTAAGTTATAATGCTGTGAATAGGATTTCAGCTGGAGTTTTGATTCATTTTTATGAGGTGAATCCCTTTCAATTCAGTAATTTTTTGTGTTTTCTTCTGTTTCCAAACCCCAAATGTAAGCCACATCACTGTTTTTTAGACAGATATTAAATCCTCCTCTTTTGCAGTGATTAATCTCTTATTCTTTTGCATTTCTTTTTTTTTTTCCCTTCTTTTTTTGTCTCCCCCAGGGATGTTGCTGGTCACCACCGACACGTTAGGCCAYGATTTCCACGTTTTCCAAATCCTGACCCATCCTTGGTCATCCTCACAAAGTGCCGTCCATCATTTGTACACACTTCACAGGGGAGAGACCGAAGCCAAAGTAAGTGAAACTCTTAGCTGAGCAATAATCCCCAGACACCTTATCCATTCTGTGGATGTTGGCACTTTAATGTTTGTTTCAGCGCACAAAGAGCCTTTCTTGTGCTCCAGCCGCAGAAGGGATAAGAGCAGAGCGTTTAACCTGGACAATAATAAATTCTTGCCCTTTGCAATGAGGTGCTGTCAGATTTATTCCGATCTGGCAGTGCTTCCAAAGGGCCCCGATTATTGGCTGTGTTTGCACTTAACCTTTTCTCGTGTAACACGCTCGGCGTTTGTCTCGTGCCCGTGGAGGAACTGTCAGCGTTGGCTTGGCCCTGGTGGGAAAAGCCACAATCAGACAATTTGAGGGTTGAGAGGAAGAGTTAATCAAAAGGCTGGGATTAACTTTCCTTAGCAAAGTGGGGGAACCTGCAGAGATTCCCTGGTTTAACTTCTCTGCTGAAAAATCGTGCTCTCAGAAATTGGAGACTAAGTCAGGGTGTTATCCAAGGGTGGAAAAGTCTGAAATGGTACTTTAAGCAATACCATTGCTTTAATTTCACCAGAATTTCACCAGTGAAGTGATTTTCTGGTGAAGTGGGRAAAGGGAGCTGGCCTTTATGGCTGTGGTGGGTTCTGCTCCAGTCCTTGACGGTGACGCTTTTGGGCAGCAGCACAACCTCACCTTGGGAGCAATGAGTAACTGCTGAGGATCCTGCTTTAAACAGAGATAAAGATGTCACCACGGGGTAGGGAATGAGTACTGCACTGATGTAATTACACACACGGACTTGTGACAGCCTGGCAGATGTGAAGCTCTGTGACAGGGACAGCCTGGGGCTCTGTGATTATCACCCTGGCACCGGAGCTTGGCTGGTTCTGGTTCCCTGATTACAGCTCCTTCAAACCTTTTCTTCTCCTATGAGTTGARCAATTTCCCCTGAGTTCCTTGCCTTACCTTTGTAACAAGTAGAATGTGAAGCTTTATTGAATGTAGCAGTGGTTGATAACGTTTTGATCCGGGTGAATTTATGTTCCTGGTGGAGTTTAAGTGCTCTAAAGCTTTCCTGCTGCCATTCTGGAAAAGTGTAATTGCTGTCACAGGCAGTGGTTTACTGTAAGAAAGAATAACCAATCTGGAAAGTGAGAGGAAATTAGGAAAAAACTTCATTTGGGATAATATATATATTACTGACAATTTTAATTTTTATAAATACTGCAAAGAGCAATGAGATCTGTGTGTGCACAAACTCTGTCATCTCCCTGGGCATGTTCTAGAACGTGTTTCATGTTTTAGAGTTATTTTTGTTCTYCTTTCATACAAAGAGTCAATATTGAACCCCAAAGCACAGGACTTCAGTCATGAGGAACAACGATGCTCTTCTGCTTTTTACAGCTGATAAATTTGTTTTCAAGGCACACATTGGAAACCAAGCAGAACATGGTTTAGAGAAGAAGCCCTTATTGATACATGTTTTTTTGGGTTATAGTATTAGCATCTCTGTGAAAGCATTGCATTAAAATTCTCAGAATCAACATAGTAAAATTTTTTCCTAGTTTGCCACACAGTTTTCATTTGGGTTGTGAACAGTATAGCTTTTGGAATGGCATAAAATGGAGAAAATTCTAACCAGTCAGAGGTGTGTTGGTGGATTTCACAACTCCCTGGATAATTAAACAATATTGCATTGGTACCTGTGATTCTCAACACACATCATTTGAGATATTTTTATAATATGAGGGATTGTTTTACTGTTTTTTTTTTTTGAATAGCAGTACTTGTAGCAGTTTAGTGAGAAGAGTCGTTGCTGGTGCTGCTCTTTTGTTGTGTGATTTCATAATGAGGAGCATTAGACAAGAATTTTGGAGGCTGTTCAATATAAAACTCTCAGTGCAGCCCACACTGGGACCCTCTGTACCTCTTTTCTGGTTAGAACAGTATTTATACATTTGCTACCAGACATTTTTCCTTTCTTTCTTTTTTTTTTTCCCCGATTTAAAACGAACTGTGAATCAAGGCCAATGGTCTTAAAGGTCACCTTCTGTAGTGGAGCTATAAAAAGTTCTAATTTGTGTTGATGGACATGAGTGATTATCAGTGTCAGAATTTGTTTAGCCAGTGCCCATTACAAATTGTTTAACCATCACCATTATGCCYGTGTTATGTGTGGGATTTAAACAGCCATGCTGAAATCAGCTGCTTTTGCACACAAGATTTTGGCCAACAGCTTCACCCCACATTTCCCARAATCTCCTTTTGGTGACTCAGATGGGGATGGGGTGGGATGGAAAGTGGGACTCTTCCTCAGAAGGGAATCATGAAGACAAGGACCAGGGAAGAATGTGAAGTGCTCAGATAATTCCCTGGTTGGATGAGAGTCCCAAGGTCATGACGTTCAGAGTCACTGTTCTGCAAACACAGACAGAAATCCCTGTTTTGGTTATATCAGATTAAGATCTTTTAGCTTTTAAGTGCCACTTGTGCTATAAATTTTATATTTTCTTTTCCCTTAAGAGGACACAGAGCAGCGTGTCTGATGCACTGAGCAGCACCAGGAAGGTCCATTGGTTGTATTTATGATTAAGAAAGAGAACTGAACCTCTCAGAGCACAGTAYACTCTAAAGAAGGAAAATGTGCACRTGTCTGTGGTGCATGWTTTGGTTAAGGATTTTCTTGTCCTCCAGCTCTTGCGTTGTGAGGCAACACTCASTGCACTCATATTTGTACCCAAGTGCGTTCTGGAAGGTTTTTAATGGAAGCATAGCATGTTCTGAACTAAGGGAGCTCATTTACTTGCAGATGAAAGTTAGCCTGTCACCTGATGATCCTCTCTCTTTGATCTGAAATCGTAAACAGCACAAACAAACCCCCGAAAGCAGCATTATCTCAGCCGAGGCCAAACAAACGCAGCGATAGCATCAGTGGGCTGCTGGCCAGCTCCTCTGTGAGCCTTTCCTCTGTCAGACTTTTGTTATTCCTGCTCCCAGACTGCAGCTAGAGCTGCCTTCAGTCGCTGAAGGTAAACAGAGGGATGATAAAACCCTTCCAGACTGGCTGATTTGACATTTTTCCAGGGAATTTGGGCACAATTTGGTGACTCCACAGAGAGTGGTCAAGGTTGTGCCACGTCCTGTGCCCAAATGTTGGATGAGAACCTTCATGGCCACAAGAAATTCCTCCCTGACTTCTGACATGCTGCAGTTATTGAAACAGTCTCTGGAATAGGGAAATAATAAAGGTTAATTTTGGAGAGTTGATCAGGAGGAGAGGTGACAAGAAGGATTTGAAACAGTCAGGAGTGGCTCATCCCTTGGGGAGAAGGAGCCCTGAGCAGCAGCATTTGCAGGCTCAGTTATTGATGGAGAGCTCAGCTCAGAATCTCTCACCATGTCCACATCCTGCCCTTCCTTGCTTTTGTACAAAACTSAAATCAGTGCTGAGGACTTGGGGAGACAGAGTTGGGTCTGATAAATCATATTGTGTAGCCAGTGATTTTATTATTTTTTCATTTATGTCTGTTGCTACATCATTTCCTTAATTCTCTCAACCAAAAAATTCACATACAGACCAGTTTTCTAATTTATTTTGACCCTTACCTCCTCGGGACTGCTGCTCTTTCTCATTGTTTAATGATACTGTTTTTTTCTCTCTGCACAGCATAATTAAATACTTGAGTCCTGTGCTGCAACAGGGGGTGTTTTTTTCTGTGACACAGCACAGTGATCATGAACAGGTCACGTTCCTGCTGCAGCAGTGCTGCTCCTGCTCTCCACGTTTAATTAAATGCAATGAAATGCACACAAATATCCAGATTGCACCCGGTGTAACTTCACATAACTGACACAGGGATGTCAGGGGGAAAAAAAGGAGTACTAGGAAGATGAAAAAGTGGTTTATTTCTTGTTATTATTATTATTAAAATACGAAGTTCAGCATTGTGAGGTTGTTTTTCTGGCTGTGACAGGATTTACCTGGACATTGTGCCATGGGCTCTGGGCTGTCCCTGTTAGAGCAGGGAGGTTGAGCCCCATCCAAGCTGTGATTCTGTGATAGCAGAAATGATTTTTTTGCTCTGTACAGTCTGGAAAGCTGATCCTCAGTGGATGTTTGACATGTGACATGTCCTTGGAGGGCTCTGTATATTGAATTACCCAACTCTGTCACTCAGAGCAGGCTACATTTTAATTCAGTTTTTCTGGAGGGTTTTGCATCGTAATGTTTGAAACGCAGAGAAATGGGAAAGTTGAAGTTAGAAAGAAAAATGGAAGAGTAATTGGAGGAAAAYGGGAAGGATGGTGACCTTTTGGAGCAAGTCCAGAGGAGACCACTAAAATTTTACAGGTCTGGCGCCCCTCTCAAATGAGGAAAGGCTGAGAGAATTGGGTTGTTCAGCCTGGAAAAGAGGAGGCTTTGGAGTGATCTGCTGGTGGCCTTCCAGTACCTGCAGGGAGCTTGCAAGAAAGATGGAGAGAGTCTAGGACTGAAAAGTATTTTGAAAATATCTTAAGCGTTAATTAACCAAAATTAACCAAAATCTCAAGTCTGTAATTCCCTTTACTGGTCCAGACAGAAGAGGATAGATAAAATTTTAAAATACAGACATGAGTATGAAATGTGCCATTGACCTTGAGCTACAGAATAAACTTTTCATCGTGAGGGATCTGGTGTGCTTTGTGCTTTATTAACATATATCTGTAAACACTGTGGGGTCTTGATTGATCTTTGGTATCTAAACATTACATCATAATTAACAACAAATCCCGAAATCTATTCTAAATACATGAAATAATAGTACATTAACCTAAAGAACAGCAATAAATTGCAACGCTTAGCATAAACTTGAAAACCACTAATGGGCCACTGTGCAGTTTGTTTATACTCAGGGCAGTCGAGAACTCGGCGTAATGTACAGGAACGTGGTGGGGAACAGCACAGCCCAGGCCATAATTTATAGGGGTTTATTCATGGACACAGCTCATTTTTTGAAGTCTTTTCTCAGACTGCCACGATGAGCATTGTCCTTCCAGCCAGGTCTGTGCCTTCTTCAGTTCTGCTGGAGAGTTACGGGTCCTTTGCTCTGCATGGATGGGTTTGTGCTGGTTTGATATGAGCTGATTTAATCCATGCCCTTGGAATTGGGAATATTGGGAATATTGGGAATATTTATTGGGAATATTCTCTGAATCCTTGAGCTGCCCATGATTCTGCTGCTCCTGGTGTGTCTGAATTTGAGAGCAGTGGGCAGCAGGTGAATCACATGGGCAGCAGCAGCTTCCAAAACCCTCTGTCACTGCTCAGCAGGATTCCATAACTCTGTTCCTATAAAACTCAGTTCATTGCATGCTCCTCTGTCAACACTTTTTTCCCTGTTAATCCTGAGTATTAAAACCCTTCTGCCTTTGAGGTTTCAGCCATGAAACACCATTTTCAGCCTTTAGGTAGTCATGGCCATGATGCCCACTCTGACTGCAGCCAGAGTTTATGAGCGCTGTTCAAAGAAAGCCCTTTGCATTATGGCCTTCCAAACTTTCTTCCTGTAGATCAGGAATATTTCTTCCCTGTGTAATGTTTACACTGAGGAAAAAACATCCTGTAGTGATTGTTTCCCAGTTTCTTGGCTGGGRTTGTCATCTGCCAGGGCTGTCGTGTGTAGTTTTTAAAACAACATAACCCTTAGGGTGCCAACTGGAAAGTGAGTATTAAAGTAGAAACACACAATTCTGTTACACTGCACAGTGAAATGGGATTTTTTTCTCTATCATTTCATGGTTGTGTTGAAACTGAGAGTGGCAATTTTGTACATGGTTCATATGTTTGGTTTTGACCAGCAGAATTTGCCMTTTTTAAGCAAGTACTGAAATACTCTCAGTGCAAAGAGAGTATTTCAAGAGTTTCTCCACTGACACCATGACTTTGGAGGGTTTTTTTGGGGCCTATTTTAATCCCTGTTGGGTCTCCAAACCTTTCTGAGCGATCTATTAAGGTGAAACACTTGATAAGCAAACCACAGATCAGTCAGAGCTGAGCTCTGGCTGTGCAGGGGCTGTGGGGTTTTGGGGATCTCTCTGAGCTGTGGTGTCTGACAGCATTTGGGGCTGTCACCCCAAATGAAAGGAGCAGGTGGAGTTTGTGCAATGTTGATGAAGATTTTGTGTCGTGACACTCTGTCAGCCAAATATCTTGTCACAAGTCACAAGACTGACATCCTTTTTTTTATCTCCGAGGCTTCGGGGCTCTGGTGGAAACTTGCACTTTGRTGAATGCTTTGCTGCTTTTGTCTGCAATAGCTGGAGTGCATTTCTGGAATATTTGTCAAGATTTTATCGGTGTTTACTCYGATTTGAGTACCTAGTGTATTGTAAAACTGGCTTCAGTGAAATCTTAAAGAATTTGATGTAGTTTATGCTGTTTAATAATATAATGAAAACTAATCCTTCGTCTGTATGTTTGTTTGGTAAATCCCACTTGTGTCCACAGYTCCTTTTAGTCAGCTTTTACCTTTAAAAACATTTTGGGAAAAATTGTTTTAGTACTTTTTTTCTCTGTGATAAATCATTTTAACCTCAACTACTTGTTTTCTTGAGTTGTCTGCCAGGACGGGCTTGKAAACAAACTTTAATCTCTCTTTTAAAGCATTCCTTCAGGAACAAGAATTTGCTTTCCATCAAAGTGTTGTGTAAAGCACACTTAAAAGAGAATTAAATCCTTCTGGACTTCATATCTGAGATCTATGCAAGGAGTAACYGTAGTGGAAAAATGTTTAACTGTATTTTTATATTTGCTTCAAAACTGACCATTTTAAGCTAAAATAAGACTTGTGCCAGTATTTGTCAAAAATCAGGCCCAGTGGTGAAATCTCTCTCTTTTCTTCTCATCCCTCCCTTTTCCCCTTTTTGGGCAATCTCTAAAGATTAAACAAGCAAATGCAAAACATGTAATTGAAACAATTTCCCAGCTCTTTTTAGAACTAAATTCTGTTTGAAAACTACACCAAGATCTTGTGGCTTTCTKCAGCACTTTGCAGCATGGTTTGTTTTCATAATCTCAGAACATTTTGAAAAGTACACAGAATTTGGAACTGTGAATTACAGTGCAGCGTATAATACATACTGAATTCTAAGTTCATTGATAAATGCACTTTYGTGCACACTTTTGTGCTTTTTTGTACACAGAACTGAAAAGAATTTGAAAATATCTTAAGCGTTAATTAACCAAAGTTAAACAGAATTTCAGGTCTGTAATTTCCTATGCTGGGAATGAAGAATGAAGAGAATAGATAAAATTTTAAAATACAGATGTGAATATTAAATGTKACATTGACCTTTGGTTTTGAGCAGTAGAATTTGCCCCTTTTGACAGCAAGTACTGAAATACTCTTGGTGTTATTGTTCTGCCCCAACTCCACAGCTTTGGGGTTTTTTTTTGGCCCTTTTTAATCCCTGTGGGGTCTCTTATCCTTTCTGAGTAATTTATGAATTATAATGAATCTATGGATTAAATTTAAATAATTTCCTAAACTTGAGTGAGTTCATTGCCATTTCCATTTCAGATTCCATTTGCTCCATTTAACAGCAAGTACTGAAATACTCTTGGTGTTATTGTCCTGCCCCAACGCCACAGCTTTGGGGTTTTTTTGGGGTTTTTTTTTGGGGTGTCTAGTCCTTTCTGAGTAATTTATGAATTATAATGAATCTACTGCTTAAATTGAAATAATTTCCTAAACTCGAGTGATTTCATTGCCATTTCCATTTCAGATTCCATTTGCCCCATTTAACAGCAAGTACTGAAATACTCTTGGTGTTATTGTTCTGCCCCAACTCCACAACTTTGGGGTTTTTTTGGGGGGTTTTTTTTTGGGGTGTCTAGTTGTTTCTGAGTAATTTATGAATTACAATGAATCTATGGATTAAATTTAAATAATTTCCTAAACTCAAGTGATTTCATTGCCATTTCAGATTCCATTTTCCCCATTTACCAGCAAGTACTGAAATACTCTTGGTGTTATTGTTCTGCCCCAACTCCACAGCTCTGGGGTTTTTTTTGGGGTGTCTAGTCCTTTCTGAGTAATTTAAGAATTACACTGAATCTACTGATTAAATTCAAATCATTGCCTAAACTCGAGTG